ATATATATATACATACATACATATACATTTCAAAATTCAAAATGTAAGGATTCTAAAATACTTCAGGTCCAAAGCATTTTTGTTAAGGGAAAATCATTCTATAGTAGTGACAGAGATTGAGATGGGATAGCCAGGGAAGGGGAGCCAAACAAAAACTATGTGTCCTAGATATCAATGGAGTAATCAAGGTTTTTCAATTGCTGACTCTGGTAAGAACTGATAATTGGTTATTTCACATACTAAAAAGGTGAAGGACATTGGTGACTTTCCCAAGAGCAGGGGCAACGAAATGGAGGACGCTTTGGAATAGTAGGAACACAGGTGAAGTGTAGTCTAGAAAGCTCCCAGTTTTCCATCCAGAGCCAGAACCAGAGAGCCTTTACCTTGTGCTGGGAACACATGACAAATTGTTGAACTTTCCCCCCTTTCAAAGTAGTCTACAGCTTACTTTCCTTTTTTAAACTCATTTTTTTTTTCACAGACTTGAATAAAAGTGATTGACTCTTTTTTAAAAGTTATCTTTATAATCTTACTCTCCCTCCCTGAAATAATACCATGTTAAGAATGATTGGATTGCCAGGCATGGTGGCACATGCCTTTAATCCCAGCAGCTCAGGAGGCTGAGACAGGAGGATCTTGGGTTCCAAGCCAGCCTCAGCAAAAGTGAGGTGCTAAGCAATTCAGTGAGACTCTGTCTCTAAAAAAAAAAAAATTCAAAATAGGGCTGGGGATGTGGCTCAGTGGTTGAGTGCCCCTGAGTTCAATCCCTGGTATCCCCCCAAAATGAATGATTTAACAAGTTCCCAGATGCCTCATCCAATCATCCACTCATTTTATACATAAATTATTTAGTCACAGATATAAGTAGCTAATCTCACCCTACACATATGAACTCATTGTTTAAACTTATGGGGTCTGTTTACTTTCAACTTGTGGTACCTACCTCATTGGCACCCTCTTTGGAGATTGATAATTAAAAAAAAAAAGATTTTGAAAGTGTTCTAAGAAAGCATATCACATTTCAACTTCATCCACTTCCACTACTTATTTCAAGATTTCTGATACTGATTTCCCTAATGCTCTTTCAGTGGTCTCCCGTCCATCCATTCCCTCAACAAACTTGTATCATTTGGGAAGCGTAAGGAGACCATAGCACTTCCAGCAATCCAAAATAGACATAGTCATACAATAAGGGGCAATTTTTCATACTATGAATTTCATTATTTGATACACAAAATATTTTAAAAGATATTCTAAAGCAAAAAAAAAAATGCCATAGATACATATAACTCTTATCCATCTTTAATGGAAAGGTTATAATGCAGTATGCTTAACCTTTTAATACCAGAATTATTTGGGTGAATACAGTGTAATTTTGATATAGGCATTTAGTAATTTAAAAAAAAAAGATATTCTGATGTGTTTTCCCCTTTATTTTTCTGAAAGCTCATTTCAGGGAAAAAAAAAACATGCAATTTTAAAAGCTCAAAAGCTTAGTGGATAATCATAGTCGGATATTTTCAGTTGGAAAGAATTCCTGTGACAGCATGAACATACACCCACCAACATGTCTGTAATAGAAAGAATTTCAGAAGACAGTAGACTGCCATGGATTTCCCAGGGCCTCACAGCAAGACAACCGCGGTCTTGGGGTCTAATTCTTTCATCTTTCTTGAAGATAGACACTTTGCAGTTGTCACCCCATAGGGAATCAGGAAGTTAGTTAAACCATCCAGTAAACTTGAAATTACACAGCATCGTGCCAGTGGAAATATCTTATCCAATGTTCTGATTTATTTTGAAGGAGAGTGGGGGAAAAAGGAAGGGGGAAAAAAAGAAAGAAAAAAAAAAAAACGACGCAAGGAAGCTGCACACACATGGCCAAACAGCTGGCTGGTTTTATATCCCAGAAACAGCTTGGGATGAGCCATATTCACAAGATCTCTTGGCAGAGTAGCTGGAGGAAAATACCAAAGCTGTGAGGAGAAGTGTTCTTTTGCTGAATATTTCATGGATCTCTCATGTGGGTTAGTAACCTAAATGAGAACATAGACACCTAATTTTTTTTTTAAGTCTTTGTTTAAGTGAGAGATTTCTGACTCTTTAAATAACACAAATGTGGTTCACTATAACATTAACACCAAAGATACATTAATAACTTTTGAAAACTATAATCTTAAAAGAATATTAATTTTTTCATTTGTTTCAAAAAACACTTTAGGGAAAAGTTCAGGGAAAACTTGAAAGAAATGTAAGCATGAATTCAAGGGCACTGGTGACTTTGTTTGGATGCAAAAATTAACCTTTAAGAGATACTAGTTTTAAGGACTTCAAGCTTTTGTTTGTTCATTCTTTTAACATTTAATTGATGTCTCTTTAAGTAATGAAGACAACTTAATTTTAAATATTTATTGGCTCACCTGCTAAATGCCAGAATTGTGACATACACAAGATCTACTTTACTCTTAGAATTTCCTACATTAGAAGGTATTCAGTGGTTTAAGATGCAGTGCTTTAGGTGAACTTACATTTTACCATGTTCCAATTTGTTGATTATATGAATTTATTCTTCACTTAGTATCCACTTTAAATTCAACTAGCTAGAATATTTCACATTCTGATCATGAGGCATTTTGAGTCTTCTTTGTGACATCAGAATTAGTTTCTCATCTCAGAGTTTGCTATATTTCTCTAGTGACTCAAATAGTTTATTGGCAGTCAGTTTGTAAAATGCTTACTGGGATTATCTAAATGCAGGATGTTAGGAATAGAAATAGATATCATTGCCTCTCCTGTCAAAAATATAATTAAAACAGGATATATAATCTTGAAAAAGTAGATGAAAAATCCCAGGGGATGACCTTGAGTCACAGGTCCCCAGTGTGCACATGGATTGTCCTACACCAGAACATCTCCTGCCCTGGCACAGATCTCCCACTTCTAGTGTTCCTGTCTCCTTAGCCCTGTGTCAATATATGCATTTTCAGTTCAAAACCTATCACTTAATTTCAAATTCCTTAAAAATTTTGTTTAGACTAAATTTATTGCACAGGTAGGAATCCATTTATATAGTGCAAAAAATTAAAAGTAGTTCTTTCTATCATTATATTATGGATCTTTTATTTTTTATTATCACACATATTTCAGTATAACTTCAACTGGTCAAACATTGATGGATATCTGATCATTTCCTGTTTTTTTTTTTTTTTTTGCTGTAACACCAAATATGCTGAAAAAATATTACTTGTACTCATTCAAGTCACTATAACAAAATTCCATAGACTGGGTGACTTGTAAACAATAGAAACTTATTTCTCAAAATTCTGGAGGCTAGAAGTTTGAGATTAGAGTGCCAGCATGGTATGGTTGGGTTATGATGAAGACTTTTCCTGAACTGAAGACTGCTGACTTCTAGTACTGTCCCATGGTTGAAATAAGGTAACACACTTGTATTCTCTTTGGGTATTAATTCTGTTCTTTGAGGGCCCATTCTTATGGCCCAATTACTGCTCAAAGGCCTCACCTCTAAATATCATCACATTAAAATTAAGGATTCGGTATATAAATTGGGGCAGGAGTAATGGAAACGTTTAGTCTATTTAACATAGTCCATATGTAATATGATATGTGTATTATTTCATATCTGTAGGATAATTCCCCAAAGTAGAATTTCTAGGTCAAAAACTCTGCATTTCTCATTTTGACAGTTATTGCTAACCTGGCTTTCTGAAACATTTTTCAATACCCCTTAGTCTTGCATCCCTTAGTCTTGCCATCAGAGATTATTACCAGTATTACCAGTATTGAGGAATTTTATCAACCTAAAGATATGGGAGAAAATTTATCCATATCCTTTTAATCAACATTTATCTTATTATGAGTGAACTTTGGCATTTTTATCAATAGTTTAAAAAGCAATTATTACATTTCTATTTTTTTTCAAAATTGTCTTTATGTCTTTTTAAACCATTTTTGTGTTGTATTGTTGGTCTTTTCCCTTGTTAATTTATAAGAGTTCTTTAGATGTCAGGGACATAATTCCTTTATTTGTACCAGGAATTCTTTTTATTTTGTTCAACAGTTTATCCTTCATTAGAATTTTCTGCTCTCAAGATAGCCCTGTGAAAGTAAGCCATCTTTGGTATGAGTTTGGAGCAAAGATTCCGGGCATATCTCCATTTTTACATTAAAAAATTGTCTGATTAGATTGTATTTCTTTTGTGTCAATTGTGTTAAATTATTTTCCTAAAAGATTCTCCATTTCATCCAGATTTAACATATTTTCATACAGTATATTTTTCATAGGGTATGTTATGTCCTTGGTACATTTTTGTCCTTTTGTTCTACCAATTACTAAAATGTAAATGAATCACAATAACAAACAAAAAAACCATACTCTACTAAAAATTTGTTACCCTGGGCATAAGTTTGTCTAGTTTTCACTATAATCTATCAATTTTTACTTTCTATATTTTATATATGTGTATATATATGTGTGTGTGTGTTTGTGTGTATGTGCGCGCGCGTAAATATGTATACGCATAGAGAGAGAGATGATTTCAAGTTCAGAATTAAGTTCCTGATGGGTTCTTGCTTTTGTCAGATATTTTCTAACTGCTCCCTCTCCCCCACTTTTTTTTACTAAGTTTGTCCCACTATGTATCATATTTTTCAATAACTTAGGGTGCAATAATTTTCAGAAAAAGTTGATTTATGAATTTATGGAAATCCTAGGAAGGGACGATGTTGCAATGTCCTAGAATAGAGGATATAGGTAGTTGTAGTATATAGTTTATAAGATATAAGCAAATGAATTGCATGCTTGGATATTAGAAGAACCAAAAAATATATCAATTACCTCGCTGTCGTCTGGTGAGTACATGTGAGCCTGCATCTGTCTAAATGGGAGAACAGGGACCTACTTTTATTTTATAGAAACAAATAAAAACATATCTAATTTTGGTAAACTTGAGTGTTCAATTATTCCCCACATTGTGCAGATTCACATTTCTCTGATCAATGGAAGACCAAGTGCTGATGATCCTTCTCCTGAACTGCTAGAATTCACCTCTGCTCGCTATATCCGCCTGAGATTCCAAAGAATCCGCACCTTGAATGCCGACTTGATGATGTTTGCTCACAAAGACCCAAGAGAGATTGACCCCATTGTCACAAGAAGAGTAAGTTATAATGACTGTGAATGAGCCTGTGAATGATATAATGCCCATCTTTTTAATTGTCTGTTAAAAAATTTAAAAAAGAAATCTTTCAATGATTTGTACAAGTAGTTATTAGCAAAGATTTTAAAATTCAGTGGACATTCTTTAGTTCAAATTGAAGTCTGCAACTTATTAGGTGTGTAGAATTTGTCAAACCTTTTTCATGTTCTTAAACTTTAATTTCCACTTTTGTTAAATGAGTATCATAATGTCTAGTTCATACCCCCCCCCCTTTTTTTGAAGTCTGAGTACAGAAGTAGTCTTTTTCACATTAGGTGACCTGTCCTATTAGTATAATTTTGCTGAGTTATTACTGAAAGGACAGGGGCTTTGATATACTTTTTTGCTATGACCCTCACTAAGAAATACACTTTTTAATCATGAGCCGCAGTTTAAAAAAAAAATAACACTACTATTAGAGAAAAGGGATACTACATACTGTTTGATTTTTCTTTTTGAATAGAATGTAACAAAGGAAAACAAAGGGTTAAAGCTTCTTTTCCACAAATTTTTGACCATAGAGCTAACAGAAGTGCTGCTTTCCAATGTGAAACTGGGATTTGTTAGATTGTGAAATAGATGGCAATCTCAGATTGCTATGGGTGATAATTGTGCTTCTTTGTGCCTGTCTACTCTGTACTCCATTCACTGGTTTATGTCACTTCCCTTACATGATGCCATACAACATTATTACCCTGAGATTCAATTCAGCCGTAAATCCATAAGGCAAATCCATGCTACCAAGAAATCCACTGTAAGGCCAGAGGTATCGTAAGAAAAAGGATGGTAGAGAGAAATTAACATTGTGGGAAAGCACTTAATTATAGAAGGAGCATACCAAGATCAAACTTCTACCACCAGTCACCAAATTGCTTTACCACTAAGCTGAATACAACAGTTCCTGAACACTCCTCACATGTTTTTTCTTTTCATTACTTAATTCCTCTACCTAACCGCTCCATCATCACAAAATAACTTCAAAAGTTATAATTATCCCCATGAAAGCTATTTTCAGAAGTTTTAGTGCCCAGTTTTTTTCCAAAAATGAAACTACTTTACCGCATACTATATTTCAAAGTATTGTCAATTGCATTATACAGAAGTAATCATTATCTTATAGCAATGTTTAGATTCTTTGCATGTTTCAAGAAATCACTTTTAATTTCCATGTTGGCGTGACTTAAAAATATACACCAAGAAAGACTGAATAATATTGAAGTGAAATTTATTCTTTCTCGACAGTATATCTATCAGGGAAAAAAAAATCAATGAAAATAAATTAGTGTTCCTTTTATCATCTTTTGCAAGAGTCAGAGTGGGAGTTGGGGTGCACATCCATTATTTATGACTGTGTTGTACATGAGCATTTAATATAGTGCAGTACAACTCAACATATAAATGTGTTTTTTGAAAGTACTAAAGTTTAATAAACACTACATACAAATTTAAATATATAAAAATAAGATATTGAATTTTAGCTCTTCATGATTCAAAAGCAAAACATTATGTATTTATATTTAAAATCAATTTCCCAATTTTAAAAGCATCTGCAAATACTACTATGCCAGCTTTTTGAGCAAATATCTCCATTTGTATTAATATTATTAAGTGATAAAGTGAAAAGGAGATTTATATGTTATCCCAATTTCCTAACAAGTTCCATTAGTTCAAGGTCTAGGCATATCAAATACGATAATGTATAAAAAATATTTTAAAAGACACTATATGTAAATAACAAAAACAAAAGGAAGAAGAAGGAGAGGAAAGTAGGGGAAGAGGAGGAGGAAGAGGGGGAGGAGAAGAGTAAGTGAATAAAAGGGATTTCTAGCTAGGGAAATCAGATCTGTGTCCACATGTTTATTATTACTAAATCTGGGATTTTTTAAGGTATATATTTGAATAATAGTTCTGTCTTCCATTGAGAGTAATACTTGGATTCCATATGATAAGGTAAAGGGCTCTGACAATTATGCACATGTTAATTAAATTTTTAATAATACTAACTCTGTAATTATGAATAATCTTTTTTAAAAATAGCTGGTAGATTAAAATAATTAGGATCATACCCCTTTATTAGCTTCAAATAGAAAGGTAATTATATGGACATTTTAACATAATAATAAAAGAGGCAAGTGTTCTGCACATCGAATTTGCAGTTCCTTTTTATATCCTTCAACGTTTGGGTAAGAAGTACATTATTATCAATTTTCCCTAAATGTGTTGTTTGTTTTCAAATCTACCAGACAAAATAGCTTGCATGTGATTTGTGAATACAGTTTTCTATTATCACAATTAAAGAGCCTTTCTCTGAAGAAACCATGCAAAACTTTTATGAAGAATTACCGTCCTTAGTCCCATTTAAAAATTGCTTTTAGCAATGGGTACTCCCGCATGGCCTTTGTACTGCCTATGGGAAAGAAATTTATAAAATGCTCACCTAACATAAATTAGAGGCATTCTTTCTTTGGGCTATGATTACAAATCTAGAAGTTACTTCATCTGTTTTGTGAGCCCTCACTTTTCTTCAGTAAATAGAAGCATGCTTCAAACCAAGGATAAAAGCAAAAAATGAAGTTTCCAACTGAATGTTCCCTTTTGTGGCTTTCACCCTGCAGTCGTCTTAACAGGATTTCTTCTCTGGATTGCTTTTTGCAGTATTACTACTCAGTCAAGGATATTTCGGTTGGAGGGATGTGCATCTGCTATGGTCATGCCAGGGCTTGTCCACTTGATCCAGCGACAAATGTATGTATATTTATAGGATGCTTAGGCAAAATGAAGTGCTCAGCTGTAAAATGCTTCATGAGCCGCTTTGCAGGCAGGGAGCACTGTGAATGGGTGTCAGGTCCCCACTTAGACAGTGTAACAGAAAGCCATGCCAGGGTGAAATAGAGCTGGCAGTTAAGATGATAGACTTTGAAGTCAGCCATCACATTATCAGAAAACAGATTAGGTTTTTTTTTTTTTTCTTTTTCCAAAAAATGTTCTAAACTGGTATCTATTTTGAAGCTTCTCTAGCTATGACAGCTTGCTGCATGATTTAGCTTTAGAGAATGCCTGCCATCAATCAACCTGTCCATTTCTTTAGAAATGTTTAATCAAAAAATTAATGCAAATGAAAAATGTGCATGGAAATAAATATATAAATGGCCATGGAACAGGAGACTCAGATAGGGCAGGAGCAATAAGGAATAGGTGGGAAAGAGGATTCAGGAGAGTGTTGATATCAGCAGGCCAGAAAATGCTGGAATGCTTTTGGGTAAAATTTTCCATTAATGACAATGCATTAGGTGAACATAACATAAAGAAGAAGATGAACGAGCATCTATTTTTTTCTGTCATAAACAAACCGGTGAAATTCACAATCAACTACTGAGCAGTATAAAGAAGAAATATATTGAATAGTAAGATCAGTGAATGTTGGTAGAGTCATAGTTGGGTTTTGTTTTACTTTTGCTTCAACAAAAATTGTATGATAATTGACATTATACTTATACCTAGTTTTCTAATTAATAGGTCATATAATGTTATCTCCTAGGAAGATTCAAAATCTTAGTATGTTTTTCTGGAAAAGAGTTAGAGTATCTTGTTACCTGTTTATGTGCTGTCAGGGGTGTTTTCCAAGCTTTGAGAGCCACCAGGCAACCTTAGAAGGGCAGTGGCATGTGGCAAATGAGACCACTCAGAGCACACACAGATAGGAGAGCTAGCCCAGGGACACTAGATTTCTGTTCCTCCTCTGCCCCTAGATACAGAGTTGGGGGAATCAACTCCCTTCTCTTTTGCTAAATCCAAAAAATTTAAGGATACTTTGAGTGAAGACTTGAACTCGACACATCTGACTCAGAAAACCTGAGCATATCAGAGAATTCGGTGTTCAAGAACACTCCCCATTGGTCCTCACTGATTTCTTCCAAATCTAAGCCCTTGATTCCAGAACCAGCCTAGATCACCCTAAGCTGGTATTGATCAGAGGTACCCACTGCTTCCTGCCCAGGCTGACCCAGTTTTACATTTTAGTACATAGCCTAGAAGTCTTCTCTTCTTTGTACTGCCTTTTAGAAGGAATCCCTCTCTGTGGTTCTAAATAATGTTCAAAGTATCTCCCACTTTGTGGCTAGAAATCACGCTGTGAGTGTGAGCACAACACGTGTGGCGAGAGCTGCGATCAGTGCTGTCCAGGATTCCATCAGAAACCTTGGAGAGCTGGGACCTTTCTGACGAAAACCGAGTGTGAAGGTATGTTCTTGAGAAGCCTACAGAGTGTGTCTGTCTTCCTCTCCTGGAACTCGGGTAGCATAGACGTGTGGAGATTTTAGATACTGCCCTCATATATCCAGTTTGTATATCTTAACCAAGGCTAGAGCTGGTGAACTCTTTACCTTGCTATCTTAGTTTTCCAGGGTACTTGGTCTGGTTTGGTTGTTTTAATTTGACTCTTTTGAATTTACTACTGTGGAAAGATTATGAGAACATGTAAAAGCATACTACATACACATCATCATAAGGACGAACCTGATGCTTCTAACATTATATTTATTATATAATATAAAATATATTTTGCATATTTTATATATAATATAAATATATTTTACATTATATACACTATATATATATATATATATATATATATATATATATATATATACTTATATTCATAGAAATGCAGATAAACATTAATGAAAACCTAGACTGTGTGGAGGCTAGCCTCCCAAACATATACACTTAGGAAATTGTTCTGAAGCATGTATTAGCTCTAATTCTTTCTAGTTGTTCCCTTGGCAGCCTGATGCTCTACCCCTTCTTCCTAGTAAATAGTCCTTACATACTCATTGTCTGATGAAGTGTGGGAAATCAAAGGTGAGAAATTATCCTCACATGTTACAACCAGGTTATTGTCAGAAAAAAATTCATTCATTAGGATTTGATAATTATACTTATTAGAGGTACTGTTTAGGGCAGAATCTAGGAAGGGTATAAGGGTAAAAGGTGACGAGACAGGAGATGAAAATTGTGAGAAATGAATGCTTATCTTTTTTTTAATTGACACATAATAATTCTACATCTTTGTGGGGTATCTTGTGATATTTCAGTACATAATTATACACAGTGTATAATGTTCAAATCAGGGTAGGAATATCTACAGATATTTATCATTTCTTTGTGGTGTAAGTATTCAAAATCCTCTCTTCCAACTTCTTTGAAATATATAGTACTTTATCATTTCCAATATTTACTCTACTATGCAATAAAACAACAGAACAATGTCTTTTGGTTAATTAGCTTTCTGTTGTGACAAAACACCTGGAAAAAACAACTCAAAGGAGGAAACATTTATTTTGGCTCACAGTTCCAGAAGTTTTAGACCTGTGGTAAGGCAGCGACATCATGGCAGAAGAGACAGGTAGAAGAAAGCTCACTTTAAAGCAGCCAAGGAGGGGCGGGGGTGTGGGGAGAAGCAACTTGGGACCAGGTACCCTTTCAGGTTATACCCCCAGTGTCTTCCTTCCTTCAACCTGACCCCAGCTCCTACAGTTCCCAATACCTTCCAACAGTCAATTCAATTTGAACCTGTTAATAGATAAATCTGTTGATGAGATCAGAGACCACGTGATCCAATCACTTCCCTAAAGCTTCACTTCTGAACATTATTGCATTGGGAACTAAGGTTTCAGCAGATGAACCTGAGCAGAACACTTCAGCTCCAAACTATAACAGTATCTACTGACCAACTTTGGCTCTCCCTATTCCCTACTCTTCCCGACTTCTGGAACCCTTATTCTACTTTCAACTTCCATGAGAGCAAATTTTTTCTTGATTTGACACATGAGATTGTGCTTTATTTGCCTTGTAGTGCCTGGCATATTTCACTTAGCATAATGCCTTTTTGTTCCATCCTCATTATCACAAAGGGAAGACATCATTATTTCTATAGCTTGATGGTATTAATATATGTATAGCTATTTGCTCACAAACGTCTTTAAATTTTGATTAAATGTTTTTTGCGGCTTGTGGAATATCAGCAACCACAGTGGAAAAAGCATTTGAGGGTAGGGATTCTTCCTGATGCCTTTGACATTGTATCAAACAGTTATAATTACGTAATATTAAGCAGTTCTGCAAAATTTTTTACACTTTTCACACACACACACACACACACACACAATAAAAAGACCAGTTCAACTTGTCAGCCACAGAAATAGACTATAGCAAAGCATATTTCTACTTGCTATTATCTATCTATTTATCTATCCATATATATATAAAGTATATTTATATAGATAAATAGAGATATGTATTTAAAACCCTAAGATTATGAAAATATTTTGTCTTTCTCTGTAGGGCAGAGAGTGGGTTATATTTTCAAAAAGAAGAATAAATATTTCAAAGATCCAGAAATTAAAGATGGGCATCTTAACCATAAAATCTTTAAATAAACAACGTGCTTTGGGCAAATGTATACATTCCTAAAAGTTTATATTAAAAAACAATTTCCAAGTTGAATTGCATTCCAATTGACTTAATATTTATAAATTCTTCTGTGACATGATAAATCCCTCTATTTAAAGGATAATCATCTTCTAAATCACTTAATTTGGATTTTCATCAGTTTAGCTTACTTAAGGCAAGATGTATCTATCTCTAAAGAGCAACTAATATTCATTACATTGCTAATCCTTTACTTATATGGTAGTTTCATAGCACATGTTTTAGACATTCTGCTAAACATCAAGTTGCTAATGACAGCAAAAAAAAAAAAATAGCTCTTTTTTTGATAGACAGGTGTTGTCCCTGTTGTCAGAGTCCGTGAACATAGAACTGGGCAGGGTGTTGATAGACAGCAACCAGGACTATAGGTAGAGTGTCCTGGCTGTAGGAGCTCTGAGGAAGAACTGTCCAGGCATTGATGTTACACCTGCAATAACTCTCAGTTATAAATATACTCAGCAACACTGATTCTAAGTCACATAAATTTGCATTACTCCGTATTTCCCTCTGTTTATACCAGCATCAGAAATCCTCAATTTCGGGCTGGGGATGTGGCTCAAGCATTAACGCGCTCACATGGCATGCGCAGGGTGCTGGGTTTTATCCTCAGCACCACATAAAAATAAAATAAAGTTTTCACCGAAAACTGAAAAATAAATATTACAAATTCTCTCTCTCTCTCTTCTCTCTCTCTCTTTAAAAAAAGAAATCTTCAATTTCTTTTTAACATGTTCAAATGGGATGCTTTAAGCATTCTTGTGTATTGTCCTAAATACAAAAATTATTTATAATACATAGAGATTTGTACTTATTACTATATGATCACTAGAATGATGCTTGAAATTTCATTGCTGTAGCAAAAATAACTATATGCTAAATCCAAAGTCAGCAAATTGGGGAAGGTACTTGAAAGAAACTTGGAGGAGAGAATATCCTTACTTATTTATCAATAAGAAAAAATTCAATAAACCTGCAAAAAAATGAGCAAAGGTGAAAACATGAACTTCTCAGGAAAAAAAATCTTCTTTAAAATTTAAGCAAAAGATGATTGCATTTATAATAAAGTTCCAATTACAACAATAAAATATAATTTTAACTTAGTAAAGTCAGCATTCAGCCAATTCTTGCATGCTTACTGTGTCCAGAAATGGTTTTAAAAGGATTGATATGACACAAAATTAGTGAAGCTTTGGTTAACAATTCCATCATATTTATTACTGGGGGGAAAATCTACCCTACCATATCTAGATGGGAATTTTTAAAGCTACTAAAATTTAACTTTTATGGACTTTGACTAGAAATTATACTTCCAAGAATTTAGCCTATAGATGTACTCATATAGGTTTACAGTGCATATTATCATGATTTTTATCATTATTATGCAATTGCTACAACTATTGCTACTAACATTCATTGAGGTGAGTAGTTAGTAGTCTGGCATTCTTCTTTTGCATTTGCAAAACAGCTGTCTGAATACTAAAATAATACAAAGATTTGAATTTTCTCCTCAAAGTTACTCAACTGACAAACAGGAAGCAATTTTAAAATTATAGACCATGCCCTGGTATTCCCAAAATGTATGCAATGTTATTTAATGGGGAAATCTGGAAACAGTGTAACTGTCTATTAATAGGGACCTGAGGTAGTACCCTGGGTAGCCTTAGAAGATGTATATGCTAATGTGGAATAAAAGCAACACAATTCACTGTTAGTAAAATCTCACAGTTCAGAACACTGTATAAATGGTCCTGCTTTCTAATATAAAAGGAAAATTGAGCTGTGTATGTATGTGCACACCTGTAGACACACACACATCCATACCAAGGTAAGGACAGATAAGAAACTCAACATCTGAGGGAGATGTTGAAAAGGAAGAATACTGGAGCTGGAGTTTTGGCTCAGTGGTAGAGTGCTCGCCTAGCACGTGCAAGGCCCTGGGTTTGATCCTCAGCACCACAAAAAAATAAAATAAAGATATTGTGTCCAACTACAACTAAAAACCAAATTTTTAAAAAAGGAAGAATACTGTATAAATTATTTTTCTTTAGTTCCCATCCTGATAGAAATTCCACATGATTTTTGAGGGCTTTGTCCTTTCTGGGGGAAGTGATTTTTCACTTTTTTGATTTTCTATAATGCAACATGAAAAATACAAGGAAGACTAAGAGCAGGACAAATCAATTGGGAACTTATCTATAAAGCATTATGCTAAAGATTTTACATGCATTATCTCACTCAATGCTTTTAAATATTCATATCTGGTAATTACTATTGACTATCCATGTTTTATATGGAAACTGAGTCTTAGTGAAATTAAGAAGTTCTGCATATCACATGACTAGTAATTAGAGGCGAGGACATGTAAATGCAGCACTGCTTGGTGCTCACTTTGTCCTGATTACTGGATACCTGCCTTGTATCTTATATCATTCACCAGGTAGAATGTGAAGGCCTGTGGCCCTGGTGAGAAGTGCAGATTCTGGAACCTAACTTCAGAATTTGATTTCCAATACAAATTAGGTTAGCTTTTTTAAGTTAGGGTACTTATTTGTGGCTTGGGTTCCTAATACATGAAAAGAGATTTATTTCAATTTAAATCCACTGTAATAACCATAAAACAATTAGAATAGAGTCTGGCATATAAAAAAAGTAAGCTTTAGTTGTTACTAGTAGTAAAGGAAAAGAATTATAACCTGAATGTTCTTTTTTACATGTAGTGTCTAAAACTGAAATTCATATATAGTAATTATTCATTACAGATGACCTAGTTGCTAATAATTCAGTACTATCATTCAATAATTTATATTTTATTATAATAGGAAATTGTAGGCTGAACTATGTGAACCTGTTTCACTTTTATAAATCAAAAGTCAGTAAAATATCATCAGTTTCATGATTCAGCTTATATTTTGATCATTTCATATTTCATTAAAAGCACAAACTTATTAATATATCCAATAAATCCAAATATTTTCTAAATGTATTTGTGTATGTATGATAAATTATAACAGAAAATACTTTTTAAATATGTCTGAAATCTGAAATTAATGTTTGCTAATTTATTATTTTCTAATGTAGCATGCAATTGCCATGGAAAAGCTGAAGAGTGCTATTATGATGAAAATGTTGCCAGAAGAAATCTGAGTTTAAATATACATGGAAAGTACATCGGAGGGGGAGTATGCATTAACTGCACACAAAACACTGCTGGTATAAACTGTGAGACATGTATTGATGGCTTCTTCAGACCCAAAGGGGTAAAGTATGTTTTTATATCACAGTTATTTTTGCTTTTTCAAATGAAGACATAGGATGCAAAAAATAATTTTGACAGGATTTTGAAGGAGTTAGACTTCAAATTTTAAAAGGTGACCAGAAATTTTCATCATTGAAACTGATATAAATATTTAAGGATATAAGACATTTGAATAGCCCTAGAAAATTTTATTGTGCCTCATTCCAGTCAATACTCGCCCACAGAAAACTCTATTCAAGTTTTTATTTTTTCAAGTAGTTTTTTTTAAAATTAGTGTCATATGGATGTACATAATAGTGAGATTCACTATGTTATACTCATATATGTACATAGAAAAGTTAGGTCAGATTCATTCCACTGATGTTCCCTGTCAGATCCTTCCTCCCTTTCTTTCATTGTCCTTTGTCTACTCCTCTGATGTTACTTCTGTTCTTTTTTAAACCACCCCCTCTAATTTTGGATTAGCTTCTGCATATCAGAGAAAACATTCAACTTTGGTTGTTTTTTGTTTGTTTGTTTTGTTTTTTGTTTTGACTGGCTTATTTCACTTAACATGATAATCTCCATTTCCATCCATTTACCAACAAATGCCATAAAGACATTCTTCTTTATATCTGAGTTAACACTCCATTGTGTGTGTACATTTTAATATATGTATCACATTTTCTTTAGCCATTCATCTGTTGAGGGGCATCTAGGTTTGTTCCACAGCTTAGCTGTTGTGAATTATGCTGCTATAAACAATGATGTGGTTTCATCACTGTAGTATGTTGATTTTAAATCCTTTGGACATGTATCAAGGAATGGGTTAGCTGGGTCATATTGTGGTTCCATTCCCAGTTTTCTAAGGAATGTCCGTACTGCTTTCCAGAGTGGTTTGTATAAGAGTATCATTTTCCTCACATCCTCCCCAGCAGATTTTGTTACTTGTATCATTGAAAATTGACATTCTGACTGGAGTGAGATTAAATTTCAGTGTGGTTTTAATATGCATTTCTCTTATTGCTAGAAATGTTAAATATTTTGTCATATATTTGTTGATCCTTTGTATATTTTGTTATGAGAAATATCTATTTAGTTCCTTTGCCCATTTATTGATTGGGCTATTTGGTTTTTTTGTTTTTTGTTTTTTGTTTTTTTTTTTTTTGTACTAAGTTTTTGTGCTCTTTTTATATCCTGGTTATTAGTGTTCTGTCTGAGGAGCAGATAGTAAAGATTTTCTCCCATTCTGTAGGTTCTCTCTTCCTGCTTTTGATGGTTTCCTTTGCTGTGAGAAAGCTTTTTAATTTGATGCCATCCACTTATTGATTTGCAATTTTACTTCTTTGCTTTAGGAGTCTTATTAAACAAAATAAAAGTAAGTTCCTGAGCTGACATGTTGGAGTGTTAGGCCTACATTTTCTTCTAGCATGTGCAGGAGTTCTGGTCTAATTCCTAGGTCTCTGATCCACTCTGAGTTGAGTTTTGTGCAGGATGAGCAATATGGGTTAAATTCCATTCTAATACTTATAGATTTCCAGTTTTCCCAGCACCATTTGTTAAAGAAGCTATCTTTTCTCCAACATATATTTTTGGCACCTTCATGTAATATGTGGTAACTGTATATATGTGGGTTTTTCTCTGTGTGTTCTATTCTATTTTATTGGTCTTCATGCCTGTTTTGGTGCTAGTATCATGCTGTTTTTGTTACTGTACCTCTGTAGTATAATTTGAGGTTTTGTATAAAATATTGGCAAACTGCATACAAAAACACATCAAAAAGATAGTATACCATAATCAAGTTGGATCCATCCCAGGGATTCAAAGTTGGTTCAGAATACAGAAATCAATAAATGAAATCTACTAAATAAATAGACTTGAAGACAAGAATCACATGATGATCTCAACAAAAAACAACCAAAGTTATGATCTCATTAGCCACAGAGAAAGCATTTGACAAAGTATAATACTATGATAAATTTGTTTAAATCACTAAAAAAAGCTAGGGATACAAGGGATACAAGCAACACCCATAAATCATTCCTGTTCCTATTCATTCCAAAGATGAATCTGCTGAAAAAGAAATTAGGAAAATTATATAACTCATTATTACAAGCAGAGTTTTTATAATAAAGAGTTACTAAAATTTTTAACCTGGTAAAGTCTTTTATTCTTTGCTACTTTCTTTCAATTCTTTTGTTTTGCCATTCTTTTAAGAATATTTATTCTAATTTGTTATATATGACAGCAGAATGCATTTCAATTCCTATTACACATATAGGGCACCATTTTTCATGTCTCTAGTTGTACACAAAGTAGAGTCATACCATTTGCATCTTCATACATGTACTCAGGGTAATGATGTCCATCTCATTCCACCATCTTTCCTACCCACATGCCTTCTTCCCTTCCCTTCCTTCCCCTTTGCCCTATCTAAATTTCCTCCATTCCTCCCATCCCCCCCAATCCTCACCATGGGTCAGCATCCTCATTTCAGAGAAAACATTCAGCATTTGTTTTTTTGGGATTTGCTTACTTCCCTTAGCATAATATTCTCCAACCCTATCCATTTATCTGCAAATGACATGATTGTATTTTCTTTTAATGCTGAGTAATATACCATACTTTCTTTATACATTCATCTACTGAAGGCTATCTAAATTGGTTTCACAATTTTGCTACTGTGAATTGGACTGCTATAAACATTGATGTGGCTGTGTCCCTGTAGTAGGCTGTTTTTAAATCTTTTGTGTATAAACCAAGGAAGTAGTGGGATAGCTGGGTGAAATGGTGGTTCCATTCCAAGTTTTCCAAGGAATCTCCATAGTGCTTTCCATATTGGCTGTACCAATTTGCAGTCCCACCAGCAATGTATGAGTGTGCTTTTTCCTCATATCCTTGCCAACACTTACTGTTGTTTGTATTCTTAATATCTTCCATTCTGACTGGAATGAGATGAAATCTTAGAGTAGTTTTAATTTGCATTCCTCTAATTGCTAGAAATGTTGAATATTTTTTCATATATTTTTGATTGATTGTATATCCTCTTCTGCAAAGTATCTGTTCAGTTCCTTGACCCATTTATTGATTGGGTTATTTGTTGTTGTTGTTGTTTGTTTGTTTGTTTGTTTTTTGCTGTTAAGATTTTTGAGTTCTTTATGTATTCTGGAGATTAGTGCTCTATCTGATGTGTATGTGGTAACAATTTGCTCCCATTCTGCAGGCTCTCTTTTTACTTCACTGATGTTTCTTTTCCTGAGAAGAAGCTTTTTAGTTTGAATTCATCCCATTTATTGATTCTTGATTTTATTTCTTGTGCTATAGGAGTCTTATTAAGGAAGTCGGGGCCTAATTCCACATGATAGAGATTAGGGCTTACTTTTTCTTCTATTAGACATAGAGTCTCTGGTTTAATTCCTGGGTCCATGATCCACTGTGAGTTGAGTTTTGTGTATGGTGAGAGATAAGGGTTTAATTTCATTTTGTTGCATATGGATTTCTAGTTTTCCCAGCACCATTTGTTGAAGAGGCTATCTTTTCTCCAATATATGTTTTTGGTACCTTTGTCTAATATGAGATAACTATAATTATGTGAATTTGTATCTGTGTCTTCTATTCTGTACCATTGGTTTACAGGTTTATTTTGGTGCGAATACCTTGCCATTTTTTGTTACTATTCCTCTATAGTATAGTTTAAGGTCTTGTATAGTGATGCCACCTGCTTCATTTTACTTGCTAAAGATTGCTTTGGCTCTTTGGGGTCTCTTATTTTCCAGATGAATTTAATGATTGCTTTTTCTATTTCTATGAGGAATGTCACTGGGATTTTGATTGGAATTGCATTGAATCTCTGTAGTGCTTTGGGTAGTATGGTCATTTTGACAATATTAATTCTGCCTATCCAAGAACACGGGAGATCTTTCCATCTTCTAAACACTAGAAAAACTTAGGATATCAGGAACATGTCTGAACATTGTAAAAGCTATCTATGCTAATCCCCAGGCCAACATCATTCTAAATGGAGAAAGATTGAAAACATTCCTCCTAAAACTGGAACAAAGCAGGGATGCCCTCTTCCACCACTTCTATTTAACATAGTTCTTGAAATCTAGCCAGTGCAATTAGACGAAAGAAATTAAAGGGATATAGACAGAAAAAGAAGAACTCAAATTATCACTGTTTGTTGATGACGTGATACTGTACCTAGAGGATCCAAAAACTCCACCAGAAAACTTTTAGAACTAATAAAGGAAATCAGCAAGGTAGTAAGATATAAAATTAACACCAATAAATCAAAGGCATTTCTGTACATGAGTGACAAATCCTCTGAAAGAAAACCACTCCATTTAAAATAACCTCAAAAAAATAAATAAAATACTTGAGAATCAACTTCATGAAAGAGATGAAAAACCTCTGCAATGAAAACTACAGAATGCTAAAGAAATAAATTAAAGAAAAGTTATTTAATTTTATCAGATGCTTTTCTGTATCCAGTGAAATAAATCTAATTGTTCTTATATGTTAATGTGGTAAATCTGCATTGATTTTTAAAATATTGAACCAACTTTGCATTTATGGGGTAAATACCACCTGATTATGAAATATAATCTTTATTTATTAGATGATTTTACTTAATTAAGGATTTTTATATTTTTGTATAAGGCATATCATTCTAAAGTTTAATTCTTTTGTAATGCCTTTGTCAGTTTTTGAATTGGCATACAATGGTCTCAAAAAATGAATTTGAAAATGTTTCCTTATTCTATGATTTCTAAAATTACTCATGTAAGACTGAAATTAAATGGAATTAAGGAAGTGGTATTAATTGTTTTTAAACGTTTCTTATATGTTTAGAACAGAATTCCCTACTAAAACTATCTAAGCTTTTTGTTTTCTTTGTAGAAAAACATGTGGTAATGAAATTAATTTTTGTTGGTATAAAACTATATACACTTTGTATTTTGTCCACGGATCAGTTTCGATACATTGACGTTTTCCAAGTATTAGTTTAATTTAGATAAGTTGTCAAATTTTGTGATAAAATATTTTTCCTTAATATCCCCTTATTCTTCTTAAATTCTAGAATATGTATACTGACACCACTTCCTTAATTCCTAAAAGTTTGAATTTTATTTTTCTCCTTTTTTTTCTGATCAGTTTTGATAGGGGTTTATCAGTTTTCTAAATGTTTTTCAAAATTTTTTTTACTTTTTTCTATATTTATTGATTTCTATTTTTACAATACTTATATTATTCCTCTAACGTGTTTTAGTTTTCAATTTTTTATTATCTTACTACCTAACAACAAAGAAACAGATTATTTTGAAGCCATTTTTATTATAATATACATATTCAGATATATATTTTCTTCTAGTAAGTACTTTTAGCTGCTTCCCATAATTTCAGAAATGCTTTATGTACATTATTATTTATTTAAAATGATTTCTAATTCTCATGATTTCATTTTTTTAAATTTAATTTCCAAGTATTTGGATGTTAGTTGTTTGATTTCCAAATATTTAGTCTTTCTCAATAAATCATATATTTATTGTGATCTACACTGAATATCATATTATCTGAGAATGTAGTAGTTAAGATGCCAAACTCTGGAAGTTTATTGATACTTATTTGTGGCTCAGTGCATAGTCTCTTGGTAAATGATTATGTGTACCTGAAATAGTTTGTCCTGACATTTTTGACTTCTGCACATATAGATCCATTCAATTTATGATTATGGATTCTTGCATTTCATATTTTTTTTTTACTATTTCTTCATGTATTTGAAGTACTGTTATTAGGTGCAGTCACATTTCAAAATTTTTATATCTTTACATTTTATATCTTATAAGTAGACATTTTAATAATTATGAAGATTTCTACTTAATCTCAGGTAAAACTTTTGGTCATAAAATCAACTCTGTCTCTAATTAATAAAGCTACAACATCTTTCTTATGCTTACTCTGCATTTATATGTTTTTGATTTTTTACTTTCAACCTATTGGTATCTTCATTTAAAAGTAGATTCCTGTATAACTAAAATGAATCAATAAAAAGTGTGTTTCTGCTAATAAAAAATAGTAGATCGCTTATAAATAATTATATAGGTGGGTGTTTTTATCTTGGCAATTGCACTTTTTAAGTTGTTTATTCCATGTATACAACATAGTTACTATTATGGATAGGTTTTGCTATGTGGTTTTTGTCTCAGAAACTTCTTAGCCTACATTTTTTCCTGTTGTCTTTTGTGTTATACACAACTGTTTTTCACTATTCCACTTTACTTCTTCTGTCATCTTTTTAGCTATAACCTTGTGTATTATCTTTTTATAAGTTCATGCTATAGTGATTGTAATACATATATTCTTAAATTAGCACTATCTTATCAGAGTAACTAATATGATATTTCACATACAGTTAGGAAAACTGCAATAGCATAGTTCAATCTATGCCTCTCTTTGGGGCTTTTATTTTCCTTTATTGCTTGTAAGCCCCACAGTACAATATTGTAATTTTTGTTTCGATTCGTGTTTTAAAAAAAGAAATGAAGAAAAAAGAATTTTACAAATATATACACACACATACACACATACATACATACATACATACACTGACACACATCACAGTCTACAGTTAAAATGTGTGTGATACATATACACATATTTATATATGTGTATACACATACACACACATATACATCCACACATACACAGACACATGAACATATATATACATGTGCCATTTATAATAACCTTCAATTCTACCCTGTCAATTTGTCCTTTGCCTGAGTAACTTCTTCTACAGAATTACTAGTTATAAATTATCTTTTAAGATATTTTACTTAAAGATATCTGAAAATGTCTTTACTTCCATCATAGTTACAGAAATGGGTTTTTTTTCAGAACTTTAATGTAGTACCTTTTCTGAATTTTTTTTAATGAGAATGCAATCATCCTTTGTCTATTTGTTTTTCTTGAGATTTTTATTTCCTATTTAGTACATTTTAGGCCATTAGTTCTTTAAAAAATAAAGACTCATTCTTTCTCCTTTACTTCTAGGACTCCATCTATATATATTTAGCTTACTTGGTTATATCCTATAGGTCACTGATGCTAATTTCTTAAAAAATATATCTTTTCCTGTTCTCTAGATTTGATAGTTTAATATATCTGATGTTAAGCCATTAAATTGCCACTTTTCTTTCTGCCATTTCTAACTGGCATTAAGTATATCCAGTGAATTTTAAAACTGAGATGTTTAATTTTCCGCTATCTGGAGTTCTCAAGTTTCTTACAGTTTCTGTTTCTCTACTAAAATACTCCATGCATTCACTCATTGTAAATATCATTTATTTTATGTTGGATATACTTGCAGTACCTGTATTGACTTCTTTGTATGTCAATTTAAATGCCTGAGTCACCTCAAGGTCTACTTTTATTGACTTCTTTTTCTTAAGCAATGATCACATTTTTTTTGTTTCTTTTAGAACTAATAATTTTATTTTCATAGGACATTTTGGATAACACAATGTAAAGAGCCTAGATTTTGTTACCTTCCTCTGAAGATTTTCAGTTGTATCCTAGTTGGTAGTCAGTGCACCATATAACACCTGGAAATTGTGAGGCTTGTTTTTACCCTTTGCTTGGTCAGTTTGATGGAATCTCAAGGTGTTCATCTAACCATGTTGATTTAAACTCCAACTTCTGATTATTTTATGATATGCTGCACCTGAAAATTGCTCAGGTGATTCAGCTTTCTGGTCATTGCTTTTTACTGAATTCCTTGGCATTTTCTTGAAGCATCTTTAATAATGGATTAGTTAAGCATTTGTGGGATAATGATATATAGATTTTGGTTCTGTCCTTCTGTTAATATGGATCTTCTTCTGTACAATTTTTTCCCCTTAAAACATCAAATTCTTCCAGTTTTTGCCTGTTTTCAATTGTTCTTACACATCCTCAAGATTCAAGCTTGTCCTCTGATTGTGTGTTGCCCCATGTAAGACACTGCCATAATTGGAACTACAAGGTTGATCAAGTTTTTATTAAAAGTCAAGTAATGAATCTGCCCCTAGGGTTTGGTACTTTGATACTTATAAAAATACTTATGCTAAACTAAATTTTTAAAAAACACATATTTTGCAAGCACTTAATATTTGGGCAGAAATAAAATTTTATGTATTGAAACTTATAAGTAAAGTAATTTATTTCTATGATCATCTTAAAATTGTCTTAAATTTGATTTTAGATTTATTGACTAAACAATGCACATTTTATTTATAAATTCATATATTTTGTATATGAAATACATATAAAACAATATTTACTTAAAAAGCCATTTATGAATCAAAATTATTACTTTAATAAAATTAAAAATCAAGGTAAAGTAGATATGTTTATAGAATCTCATAAATTAGAAGTTTTCCTGAACAATCTGATTCACTTATATTCTTCCAATTATCACAAGACATGATAATGAATTAAAAGGGCTTAGTTTACTAAAGCTCATAATTAAGATCATAAATCATATTTATGAGTCTAAATTTTATTCAATAGAATTTTTTGGTAATATGCTACTGAGGGTGTGCTTTGTTTTGTTTTGTTTTAGTGCCCTGATAGTTCTTCTGGATAGAAAGACCTCTTTCAAATTATTTACTCATGTACTCATATATCCAACTCCACTTTAAATGTCCCCTTTTTTTGGAAAATATTATTTGACTTTATTGTGTTATAGTGGTATCCTTCTTCTTTTTCTCAATAAGGTTCTGTTTGTTTGTCGTTTTTATCACTGTGTATATTTTCTTCAACCCCAGTCTTTCACATCTGTAACCCCTGCAAGCTCATTTCAGGTAGAGACCATGACTCTTATATTAGCTATGCAGTTCTTACTTCAAAATGGGAAAAGAATGAATGAGTCTAAAGCAAATGATGATTTTTGAACTGCTCTGTGATCTTAACTGATTCATATTCAATCACATGAGTAAGCAACTGTGATTTTAACATTCTGATTTATATTAGCAAATGAATTAAGTTTAATTACAAATATATATGAAAGGTATATTTTATTGGTGGAAAATGTTTACATATATATTTAGTAGCATTTCAGTATTTTCTGGACAACTAATTTAGGTATTTTTATTCTTTTCCTATTCCATCTGGAAAACAAATGTTTCATATATAGTATATGAATGTAGTCTAGGTTTATTTCATTAAGATATTCTAACAGGAAAAGTTAGTAGTTACATTAATCATTTAATACATGCCAGACTCTTATGAGATTTTTATATATTATTCCTTTTAATTTTGATTTATGTAACATCACTGTAGTTGTTTTTATTACCCTTATATTACAAGAAAGTAAATAAATCACACACAGCTTCACAGCCAGTAAGTGGTCACACTGGGATATAATCTGAAGTTTTCCTAATGACCCAGGTCACATTGTTTCCTCTCAGGTTACGCAGCCTAACAGTCAGGAAGGCCTCATTATAAAATATATATTAGAATATACCCAATAAATATCATTGTTATTTTTCTCTGTTATGTTGACAATACTGTGGTGATAAAAGAGGTGCATCCTTAAATGCATAGTTTTTAAAGTCTCTTTATCAGGGATTTCCTCTACAAAATTCAACAATGGATTAAAAGAGATGATATTTAACTGCTGAATATAGGTAACAAACAAGTTTATTGTATCATCTTCTCTATGGATAGAGTTAGAAGAACTTGATTTTAGAAATAGCATGTGTACTAAAGTTCATTTCTTGTAATTTTTCTCAAAATAGTTTATTCTGTATTATTAAAACCAGTTTGTCCTTAAAAGTGGCTGAAATGAAAAATATTGCTGTTTTTATTACATGTGATGAAAAATATTTTAATATTTTTATTAGGTATCACCAAATTATCCAAGACCATGCCAGCCTTGTCATTGTGATCCCATGGGTTCCCTGACTGAAGTCTGTGTCAAGGATGAGAAATACGCTCGCCGAGGTGAGAGCCGCAGAGAGCCACTGCCCTTAGGAAGTCACAGGGAAGGCCAGCCTCCAGCATTTTCAGAACAACTCACAGTGAATTCCACTCACATGATGTACATCCTTCAATTTATCAATGTATCAGTTTTCCCTGCAGGGAACAGATTTTGTTGTGTCGAAAGTTAGTTTTATGTGAAATTATAATCTCTTAAAAGCAAGAAGAGTTTAGTCATTTGTTTATATATTTATTATATATGGAAAGATACTCATACACACACACGGATATAGACACACTTGCAGAGTTATGTGTCTCTTAACAATGGCATAAATTCTGAGAAACTTGTCATTAGGTGATTTTGTTGTTGTATAAATGTCCTAGAATGTACTTGTACAAACTAAAACTTTATCAGGCAATATAATGCTATGAAACCATGACATCAATAGTATATGTGGTCTTTCCTTGACCAAAATGACATGCAGTGCATGACTCTTTGTGTGTGTGACTGTGTGAATGTGTGTGTGTATGTGTGCATGTGTAGAGAAACAGGGAGAGACTGTGACTCAATCACAAGTGGGTGATGTCTCTACATTATTTTGTGTGTCTCATTATTTATTAGATAGTTTTGTAGACTCTGTGGCTGCTAGTGTAAAATGACAGCATTCACTGAAGGGTGTGTATGCTACAATGGAAAGAAAACAGGGAAGAGCATATAGTGAAATGGAAGCAATAATACGGAAAGCAAGAAGTGTACATAAAGAGCTATAAAAGATAGTAGTCATGAGTCAAAGGGAAAGAGGCTGATGTTCACTTAAGCCAAATACTTTGGGAAATAAAATCCACAATGAACTCCAAACCTCAAGGAATCAAATGCCAACCTAACTCCTTAGTATAAAATGCTTGGGAGCTACTTCTAGGGTAGTCATTTGCCAAGTTTAAGTAGGAAATTCGTAAAATGTATCTGTAGCTATTTCTTTATATCTCAAAGAGTGAATTCTTGTCTTCTTTGGAAAAACTAAAATAAATCATGGCTACAATGTAGGTTTTTTTTTCCCCTCTAATGACTTTAGAGTAGAAAGACTGGCAGTGTTTCTCTGGTATAGTTCAGCCTACCTACTTTCTTTATAAGACTGCAGACTTGCTTAGCAATTTGAGCATTAAATGCAGTCTTAAATCTTCAAAGATTAAAAGCTAATGTGTTTTAATATTCTAGTAGTGATTACTGAGGTCACTTTTCATTTTAAGACCCCTTTCCTTTTTCTTTTCTTTTTTGTTTCACTAACAACAAAGTCACAGTGTTATTTTCAGCAATATCATTTATCTCCTGCATGCTTTTAATAAGTATATCATTGTTGAAAAAGTTATGTAAAAATGTAAGAAAATAACTACAATGCAGCGGAAATTCAGCAGAGATACTACTATTAACATTTTGCATGGTTTTGTCATAATGTATAGAGATTTTTTATAATGCTTCTTTTTACTTTACATATGAGTTTTCTTATAATCACCAAAACCTTCTCTAAAATCTGTTTTCAGCACCTAAATAATACATTAGAATATGGTTATACCACAATTACATACTGAATTTAATGTAGACATTATTATTTCCAATTTTTGTGTATTATAACCAATTATTTAATGAACACCATTGTATATAACTATTTTTCAATTGAAAGAATATGTGGTGCATGATTTAAAAGGAAGGGAATAAAATAGCAGGCAATAGTGTCCTTGTTGATCTCCTTACCTCCGGTCTTCTTTCCAAATTTAACCATATTGAGTTTTTTCTCCTTTTCAGTTCCTGTAAATTACTTCCAGTATCTAAACAATATTCCCATTCAAGCATTTTGTCAATATAACATATTGCATATTGATTCCATATTGAAATGCAATGAACTGTGTTATTCATACCACCTACCTTTTATCCACTATCCATACCTTTTTAATATATATTTCTCCTAAATATCTTCATTATGATAAATAGAAAGCTTAAATATTTTATAACCTTTTGAATTTTGACTCTATCATGAGGTCCTACAATGACAGATCAGAAAAGTATCATCCTTACACTGTGCCTTGCCAGGTGTGCCAATTACACACTTATCTTTTCAAAGATTTTACCAAGATATATTTGTGGCTTTAGATTAGTAATTAATTATTATAATTTAAAAATGTAAGCATAATCAAGATTGGCATTATTATCATCATTGGCATTAATATCAGTTGCATATTATTCAATACAGACCTGAGTTGTAAAATTGGTCACACACTTGTAATACACTTTACCTTCAGACTTGGTCTGATTTCATGATCTCTTTAGGAAAGAATCCAAGATGTAGTCTAATGGTTTGAACTACTTTATCAAATTGTGTCACTAAGCAGTAAAAGAAAATATATTCCACTGCCTCTTTGGCATTAATTTGATTACTAATAAAATATAAATGTTTCTTTTGTGAATTATCTGTTTTCTTTGTTTTCTGTCAGTGTAAGGTAGTCTTAAGATTTTTAAAAGCCCTTTAAATATTAAAAATAATAATAGGTCTTATTTGTTATAAACAATTTCTGTGTCTCACTGGTGTTCATAAGAATTTCTAACATACAGTACTTAAATAATCTTTATATAATCATCTCTCAGAGTTCAGATAATCGTCTTTAGCTATAATAATGACACTATGTGAGATTATTATATTTTAAATGTTTTTCTAAACTGAGTTTCTTCCTACCCTTTATAATCTTAGCGCTATTGTATCCCCAAATTAGATGAATGTATTTATTTCCTTCATTTATGATTTCCTTTTATAATACCTAATTGATTAATCTATCCGCAAATGATTTTGGTATTTTATAAGGAAAGTTTCCATCCATATTTTGTTTCTGAATGATTTCTTTTCTTTCACTGATATTAATACTATATCTTGAAACATATTAAATATGATTACTTTATATTCTGTATATATTAGTAGTGCCATTGTTACCTGAGTCTGATTCTGCAGTTTGCTAATCATTGAAGTTTCATTTTCTAAAATATTTTATAGGTATGTGTCGTATGTGTGTGTTGGTGTTGTGATATATGTATGTTCATGCTTGTGTGGGGTTGCCCTTTCAGAAGCTTTGAATTTGTATGAGATTCTCTGATATGACTTCTTAACTTATATAGGACCTAGGATTTTTTATTATTGTTATTGTTGTTTTCTTCCTCGCCTCTTTTTTTTTTTTTTTTTTTTTGCATGGACTATATTTTCTTAATTTGCTCTTAACTTTTCTGAATTTTGAAGGTCTATTACCTGTATATATTTGTTTGGCATTTTTTATATTTTTCTAATCAAAGACATGAAGGGCAGGCAATATCACTGATGGTATTACTGAAGAAGATTCTAAGGGCATTCATGGAGATAAAATTTATACTTTATTTTTCTCTGTATAAAAGATAAAAATGGAATTTTAAGCTGCATGTATATCCCTCTTCTATTTATTTGTATGTCCAAAATATCTATTTCCATGAATACTTTCAGTCTTTTCTTCAGTAACATGACCATGACATTGTCTTTAGACCATCACTCCTGAATTGTTGTCTTAAGTACCATATCTTCATTCTCAAGGCCTTTGCCCATCTTGTGTTAGTGTGATGAGGTAGGTTTCTTGATCTAATAGGATGCACAAGTTAATACTTATTCTTCCCAGTATAGTCTCATTACCTAAGATTGTGTGGAAATTGCTATATTCTGACTATTGTTATAATTTTACTATAGCCTTGGTGGATGGTTTATGTAGTAGTTTGAAAGTTCATCTATCTTTTTTCATCCTTAATCTCTTGAAAGGTATTTAGAAGTTGCAGATTATGATAAATGTAGCAAACTTCCTTTTGAATTTGGTACCCAATAGCTATAACTATTGATGGACATCAAGAATCTAATGTTTGTGTCAAAATCAGCTCCTAAAGATTACTGTAAGAAAGCTTTGAGAATCCAAATTATGTATTTGTTTTTAAAATATGTGGTGCCTCTTCCCTTAGGTCTGGCACCTGGATCCTGTCACTGCAAAACTGGCTTTGGAGGAGTGAGCTGTGATCGGTGTGCCAGAGGCTACATGGGTTACCCAGACTGCAAACCCTGTAACTGCAGTGGCTCAGGGAGCACAAATGAGGATCCTTGTTTTGGTCCCTGCAACTGCAAGGTACATAGATTATTCTAGTAATGTTCCACGGTCAAGACAGAGGTGATTTTCTTTTGCTCCTCTGTTATGTCTGCTGGCATTAAGCAATTGTAACAACTTCTCCTGATAATATCCACCATCTATTCTATATGTAGTACTTTTATAAGTGTCCTTAAATGCTTATCGGGTTCACTGCAGCAAGATATTTATAAGTCATCTGTCATTTATCTAAAAACTACAAATATATAGAAGATAAGTCACCTTAACAGTCTGTGTCATATTATAACCAAAAGGCTTCCCCCATTGCCCTTCTTCTCTGTTAATTGAAAAATACACAGCACTAGATACAGCAATTCTTTAAAACCACAATATATTCAAATCTGTTTCTTCGCATGTAATACTTTAAAAATTCTGTCAAGGGTTTCATTCTGGATTTTTAAATAATCCTCTGAATTTTGAACCCAGATAGGTCTTAATATTCTCACCATATTCAACTGTTCAGTTTAATTACCAAAAGTATAAGAAGACCTAGTGGAATTGATTAAAGACTCAATATTTTCTCCTAAGACTACTTTTAGAAATGAAATTTTATTTGTTGTACATGCTCAGCTAATAGCTCATCATGTACACTCAGAGGGATGCACTACACCTGCAGCTTATACACATAGAAGGAACAGTGTGGAGTGCTCAAATCTAAAATAAGACATTTACATTTACATCTATAATAATCAGCTCCATAATGTTCTGATCAGTGTATAGCTATAGTAGGTAAGAGAGTGAACAATTCTTTGAAAAAAATCAGTATGCCGTAATGATACAAAAATAAAAATTACTACTTTTTTTCATTTTTTTCAATCATAGATGGAGGCTTACTAGCCTTACTAGTTTATTAGTCTTTTCTAGAAAGTTTTAAATATTACGTGGTTATGGCTGATAGATGTATATCCTTGTATGTGTGAATACCAACATTAAGCCATGACAACATTATAAGAAGTAGACAATGAGTTGTTGAAAATCTTAGTTTTAATATTAATATTAGTAGCAAATATTCATTTAATGCTATATATATATATATATATATATATATATATATATATATTTTTTTTTGAAAAAAGCATATCTAAAATATAAAGCTAAAAATTATAATGGTTGCATTTAGAATGCATCTGTTTTATCAGGGGCTATTTAGGTGCCTATCTTGGGCTATTGAACTTGGAACACTTGGACAACTTGCTATCTACATAAGGAAGCAAAAGTCCATGAGGCCATGGTAAAAAGTTGTCATGTACTGGAAGATAGTAAATTTTCTAGATTCAATACATTTTACTCCAATGTTATCTAAAATGAAAAATTGCTCTCATAGACCAAGGTTGGATAGCAGTCTGTGAGTGATTACTTGCTTAAGGACATTTCCCCTGTCCATCCTGAATGTTTTTGTTTGTTTTTTTTTTTTTGGTGGGGGGGTGTTGCAATCTTACAGGCTTTTAGTGCTTCTTCGCTGATATGTACTGAAACGAATTTTGTGTCTGCTTTATTTTCTTTTCCCCAAACTCCATAGAAATCTCTAACCTTTACCACTTGTGCAAATAAATGACAGGTAAGGCTAGGCTTAAAATCGAAGAGAAATTTCCTGAATCTATAGAATACAGGAAGCATTTATAGACTGATGGTCTGATGGTGTGCTCAAGGAAAGAATCACAAAAGTGAGGGAGGTAGACCTCATTTTGTTAATTTTCCTTGGGAAATCACTCAGAAAGGCTAGAATAAGGGAGCTGTAGTGTTAGCAGAGCTCCCAAGGAAAGCTCCTTGGGCTCCATGTGCCAGCTCTTTGCCTGAATTAATGTTGTACTGAGAAGTGATTACCATCCTAATAAGAAAAATGCCTCCCACGAAGACACTTGAAGCTCTGTGCAGACAATTAAAATGCACAATAAATAGCAATTAAGAAATCATAAAAGAGATTGAAAAATTAAGTAAATAGCATCATTAAAAGAAATGTCTTTCAGCCAGATGATATTTTAAATAGTAGACTCTCTGTTCTTAAAAACAATTTGAGGGAAATAAAAACTTGTAGAAAACAAGTTTCACAAAATATCTACATAAAGATCACAGACTATTTGTTCTAGCAGTTTAGATCACAAATATATATCATAATAATTATATCACAATATATTATAATGAATTCTATCACAACATACTGTAATTGAGACCCTATTGCTTCTTCTTTACAAGAATAATAAAAGCTAAATATTTCAGCAAATCACACATACAATTTCAATACTGAAAGGAATACGTACTAATGTAGAGAGAAAAGTGATATTTCCTTCTGTTTCATGAAAACATGGTTTGTCACAGTGTGTCAACTGATCATTAAAGCAGCATGGACCAAAAAGCTATTTAAGAAGCAAAATATTTGAGACATAAATTCATATAAATTATAGATTTTTGACTGAATAGGAAGAATATGTGTGTGTATTCATGTGCATATACTATTGATATCAAATTTAGTAATATTAAATAAGTATTTACTTATAAATAGAATAAAAATTACATGTAAAATAATCTCTATAAGTATCATCTCCAACATGAACATTAACTATTAAGCACATGCATACCTATTTCCTTATACTATAAGATAATGAGAATTTTTTTTTTGTAATTTCATTAGAAAGAAATATCTCACGTATGAAGATGTTTTATTGAAATGCTTCTTTATGAAGTCTTGGGACTAATTTTTTTTCTAGTGTTAATTTTAAATGACTGATACTTTAAATGCCACACTGAGTTTATGTAGATGACACCTTTCACATTTCTGCTATTTTAAACACCTAGATAAGCTCCATAACATAGCAAATGAATTTTAAAACACTTTGATTCATTAAAGAAAGGGAATTTTCTAGGTATCAGACCAAGGAAGGAAATCAAAGTTGAGCATAAATTCAAGCAAAACTCAACACTGAGTGAAGTAGTAGGTGTGAGGCTAGTCTTGGTTATAAGATGGTAACTAAAGTTTGGGTATTTAATACAAAAGACTGGACAGTAAGATTGAGGGAAAATGCAGCTGATTAAACTTAAGCAAGAATACTGCCAATGCTCTCTGAAACTGAAAAGGGGTCTAGAAGAAAACTCTTCCTGCAAACCTAGACAGGAAATTTTTCTTTGGGATTGTGGGTAGTGAAAAATTAGTGCCTATCTCCAAACCGGACTGCCACAGGGGAATGGAGTCAATCTTATTCTCCCTTATATGACTGAATTCTCCAATAAATCAAGCAAGTGGTTTTCCCATAGGAAAAAGAAACAGAACTACAACTAAAAATGAGTTCACCATAGAGCAGCACAGTGCACAAGAGAAAAATAACTACAAAAGGAAATTGGTAGCCATGAATATGAGAATATTTATACACTAAAAACTAGAAAGCATAGTGTGAAACAAATCATATAATAATAAAACATGTAATACCTTTTGTCTCATAAATCATAAAACTAAAACTATGTTAAAATGTACCATCATTAAAATATGATCTGAAGATTAAAGAATAAAAAATAAGAACTAAAAAATTATATAAAGTAGGGTCCTATGTTAAAATACAAGAATAACCTGGTTTAGAAAAGAAAATTTAAAATATATATAGTCATTAGAAATAAAAAATCAGTCAATAGATGTTTTAGTCAGCCTTTCAGACTAAAATAGCCATAAGAAAAACTTAGAGAAGAAAACATTTATTTTGGCTCAAAATTTATTTTGGTATCAGAGGGTCAGGTGATGGTGGGTGAACTCCATGCTCTGGGCCCAAGGTGAGGCAGAAATCATGGCAGATGGGTGTGATGGAGGGATGCTGGGATGTTCTTGGCAGCCAGGAAGCAGAGAGAGAGAGCAGAGTGGGGAACAGGCCACAGTGGAGGTGAACCCTTCCAGGGAAGGCCCCAGTGATCTACCCCCTTCCAGACACAGCCCACCTGTCTACAAAGTACCACCCAGTCAGACCATTCAAATTAGGTTAAACTGATTATATTACAGCTCTCACAACCCAATCATTTTACTTCTGAACATTCCTGCATTAACCTAGGAGCTATTGGGTGATACACTATATCCAAACTATAGCAGTGATTTAAACAAGAGATTAGGTACTACTGGATAGAGAGTAGGAAATACAGTCTAGAGGAAGTTGCCTACAAAGTGGCACAGGAAGGTAAAGAAATGATTGAATAAAAGAAAAGATGAAGTTCAACCTAATTTTAGCAGGGATTTTCAGATAAAAGAGCAGATGATATTGGGTAGAAACAATATTTACTTTAGCAGGGATTTTCAGAGAAAAGAGCAGATGATATTGAGTAGAAACAATATTCAAGAAATAATATTCAAGAAGCAATATTCAAGGAGTAGCAAAGGATAAAAGAGTAATCAACAAAGAAACCATACATCCTTAATTTAAAGAAATTAAACAAAACAACCCACCAGCAAGGCCCATAGAGAAACCTAATTACCAGCAAGAAAAAGAGAAAAATACTAAAATTAGAGGTGAATATAGTAATTTGTGAATATTCACCACTAATCTGCCTTCATAGAAAGAAATACTAAATAATGTATGTGCTTTAGTAAGAAGAGTATTAGACACAGACGTGTTTTACTACATTGCAGGATACACGAATAAACCTATAAAAAACTGCAGCATTTGCCACACAATAATAACAAAAATAGTTATAATAGCAACATAAAGCTTTGTGGATACCTAGAAATGCTTTAAAAATAGAGGTAATTTTAAAGATTATTGAAGAATATAACCTAGAATATTAAATGTGGAGATAGTTGATAATACCAAACACCAGTGAAAATCTGGGGAAATAGAAATGTTTACCATTGCTAATATTAAGGTGTATTACTAGCATAATTTAAGAAAACAATATGGCATTATCTAGTATCTTTGAGATGACAAAACCCTGTCATCCAGGACTCCACATTTAAACATTTACCCTTAATGAAATTCTTAACTATATGTTTAAATAAGTATATAAATGATGTT